TTGTTTATGCCAGGGTCTCAAGCTCAAAACAGAAAGAAGATCTTGAAAGACAGAAACAATACCTCCTCTCGCAGTTTCAAACCACTGCCTTATTTCAGACATCGGCTCCAGTATTGTTATTGCTACAGCGACAGGCTGTGTCGGTTCGCCTTTGACCTTCTCGAGTTTGTCTTCAAGCTTAATGGCACAAAGATCGTGGTTCTCTCAGAAGATAACCCAACAGACGAATGGGAACTATCTCAGCCATTAATACAGTCTTCATTTGCCGATTACAAGGAAAGCGTTCTGCCAGGTAAATATTTTATTTTTTTTCATATAAATGTTTAACTTTAGCTTTATTTTTGTAATGAGTGAACAAGCAATGAATTTTAATCGACTTGATCTATTCAGATACAGATGAGAACGGAAAAAGACAAAAAACAAAAAACGCGAGAAGAAAGTGCAAACAGCACGACGAGCCAAAAGAATGAAGAAGGCAGACTTGACACGATCACTGAAAATACGAATGTATCTTGCTTCGACAGTGGATGGGTTGTGCTAGATTAGTTTACAATATTAATATAGTAGTGGTCAATTACCGTTTGGGTCATAGGACTACAAGGCAATTTTTCTTTAGGATGCTCAAAGATTAAACATACAAAGAAATGGATTTTTATGGATAAGGTTCCATATGAAGTATTGGATCATGCCATCTCAGACGCTATACAAGCAAGAGATGAGGTTATCGCAAGGAATAAGAAGAATCAACATCAACATTATGCGCTTCATTTTAGATCTAAGAAAAATGATCGTCAGACGATTACCATCCGTCGCGAACCACTCCGTTCTTATATCAGGCTCCTACATAATAACGCGCTTCTTGCTGTTGATCCTAATCATCCACATCACAAAATGAAGCTACCATTTCATCATGAATATCGAAGACGCAATCATGGTTGGCCGAATGAGATTGGCAAAGTTAAAATGGACTCGAAGCTAATATACGAGAGGAAACTAGGATATTGGACATTTGTATGGGTATACGGAAAGTCTATCCGCGGGAAGAAATTCACGTTGCAGCCATCGATCCCGGAGTTCGCACTTTTCTTACGTGGTATTCTCCCACAGTTGGTCATGTAAACATCGGAGACAATGATATCAATCGTGTTTTTTGCTTATGCCTTGCTTTATCTCACGCACCACCAGAGCATTGGTTGACTAAGACTTTTGACATAATCGTGTTACCAAAATTTAATAGCATACAGATGTCTCATAGACGAAAAAGAAAAATTAATAGAAACACGTCAGCATTCAAACACCCGACGTCTGAGTGTATATTTTCATACCTAGTCATGAGATGTAATATGGAATGAAATTTGCTGTCAAAATTACTGTATTCCGTGTAACATGAATATAATTGAGGTTTTTCGAGGTCTTTATTTCATGATCGTTCACTGGTCTTCACATCGTAATAATGTCGAGGCTCGTAAATTTGAATTTTGAAATATTTGGCCAAGTACAGGGCAAGTAAAACATTAAATATGTCAGAAGTGTATTTTTTCCGTCGTTATTATATTTGTATCGTATGATTAGGTGTATGGTTTAGAAAATACACTCAGAAGGAAGCAGTTGAGTTGGGACTTGTTGGATGGGTAAGGAATACAGGTAACTGTTGAGCAAGGGAAGCCAAAACATGAATACATCCTATTTATGTCAGCGGATTTCATCTAATTATTGCTTAAAGACACAGGAACGGTCGAAGGAGTTGCCCAAGGAGAGAAAGACAAAATAGACCCATTGTGAGTTAACATACAATTACTAATTAAGACTGTCATTTTATGCTATTCAATTGTCAACGTTATTATGTTTTTTCCTCCCGTAGCAAATATTGGCTTCAATATAAGGGCTCACCGCATTCTCGAATTGACAAAGCAAACTTCAAATTGAGTGAGATTGTAAGATTAGAATTCGAGGATTTCAGTGTTAAACCATAAGATTGCCTTGTATTGGCGAGTTTCTAATAGAACACTAAATATCAAATTTATTATGGTAAGCTTGGGCATCACCCATCTGTTGCATTACTTACAGCTTCATCTTTTTGTCGTCTTGATCATTCATTTTATTGTCGCTCCTTTACGATAGGAATTGTGTGAAGCAGTGGATCGGAATATTGAAACGATACATATTTATGAATCTTGTGCTCAATCAAACAAGTTATCATTTCTTCCACGCGTTTACTCATTCGGCGGTCCATAATTGATGAACAAAAACAAATCTACTGTACTACTGCTCATCGAAAGTACCAAGTCTTCAACCTATTCTTAGTGGACATAAACTCGTTCGAAAACGCAAGAAACTCCCCGCTCTGTATGCATAAACTCAACGTCAGCCGTATGCCATATCGATACGGTAAAATTTCGTAACATGTTATCTTGTTGCGCTAAAGCATCCTTGTCTTTGTGAGCAGTGCAGTCCTTTGAATACGAATATCATATCGAATGATCGTTGATGAAAGTAGTATTTGATTGCGAAAAATTACATCTATCCAGTCACAAAAACTTGTATGAATCTCACGCATTCATAATTCTCTACTGAAAAAGTTGAACTTTGTAAAGCAATAACGACTAGGATATTTTTGCCCCTCATAATAGTTAATATCATATAATTAAGCATTGCGATATCACTAATACTAATACCAATACTAGTACTAATTAATAGTGATTATAATTTCATTAGTACTGTATTAGTGATTTACTGCGGATGTATCAAAAAGGTAACTCAAATTTTGGGGTGCTTGCGACCTATCAAAAATGGAATTATTACGCATCAAAAACCCAACACCCCACATCAGTAATTAGACACCTCTCAGTTCTCGCATCTGTATTGTACTCAAAGTAACAACAATTCCAAATAGAAAACTCCCAAAAAAATGTCAAGTCAACAACAACAACACCAGTTGCCCGCTACTGCAACAGCTTCCGATACAACCAACCGCTATATCACGTCCACTGACCGACCACATTCGCCCTCCACAAATTCAAACCCCAATCAAACAGTGAAGATTAGTTTGGAGCCTTTGACCGAATCTGTGTATTTTGATACAAAAGTGTTGACGTTTAGCCCGGGGCAGGAGATCCGAATTGGTAGAGTGAGCGGGAGCAGAAATCAACGAGAGGCTAAAACGGATAATGGCGTCTTCGTTTGTGATGTTATGAGCAGAGAACATGCTCTGCTAAAAGAAATTAATGGAAGGGTAAACAGTTAATAAAATATTATCGGGAGAGGGACAATTGTGATCTTTTTTAGGAGACTGAAGTTAATAATAGATATTCATAGATAAAGATACTAGTTGACCTTGCTACTCGATTTGTAAATGCCACGAATCACAGTCTAATAACAACTTTGCACCTACTTTAATCTCCTTTATTACAGATTTGTATCAAAGATCTCAGGAGCACCCATGGTACTTTTGTAAATAACGAACGCGTCCAAGAAGAACCCAGATACTTAAAGCATGCCGATATTATTACTTTTGGTCATAGCGTCCGAAGGAATCAGAGTAAGTTTCAATATGGATCAATTGAAGGTCGATAGAAACAGAAAAATGAGATTAATTAGGCTTCTCTCAAAACCATTCACGCATTATTCAACGCGTCAATCTAATTAACCTTGAAACAAATTGTCCCATTCACCGTCATAAAGATCTCTATAAACATCTTTCAGCGCGCGTAGCGTATCCGCCTCAAGAGGGTAATCAGCAAATACCACCACCCCAGCCTCTTCAGGGCGTGAAGAGAGATAATGCAAATGGCAGTGACAATAGTCATGTGAGGACACACGAAACAGATCAAGCTACCAAAGCATCAAAGTAAGTAATTTTCGTGCGCGCGTTACCATTCATTCGTTGTTTAACTAAGGCTGCCATCATATACCACTTTCCTGTTCGCGTTCGCATCTTTTGTGTTTCTCCTGGATTATTAATCACCTTGAATGCTTTACCTCTATTTGATATATACTTTGTTGATATCGGGGAAATTTTTTGAATAGAAAACTTTTTGTTATTAAGCATTCAACCGACTCAAAAGGCGATAAGGAGAAAACGACCAACATAAAGTTGAATATAACAAGTGATCGTGCTAAGGAAAAGAGCCCAGAACCGAGTGGAGGTAAATAAGGGCAATTTGTTAAATTGTATAGCTTATTATTATGTCTCCTCTATCATACGTACCTTATGCAACTCCCCTCCCCCTCTTTTTTTTTTGGTGAATTTTTATATTACTCTTGCTTGTCCTCATATTCAGTTCACCATAACGTATTACAAATACCGCCCCTATCTCCAGATGGTAGTGACGGGAAAGAACCCGAGAAACCGATTGAAGAAACCCGCATCGAATGCTTAGAAGATCAGGCGGACGCACATGATTTAAGCTCAGAAAGTGAACCACCGGCACCGCAGAAAAGTGATGTTGCTGTTGGTAAAAGTAGCGGAGAGACCAACGAAGTAGCAGAGGTATGGGAAGGGATGAAGATGACGGAATCCGAATTTCGGAATCGTGTGCAGTATTTACTGTACTTATATTTACCTTTTTCGTTTCTCATTTCATAGGCATCAAAACACATATCGACACCCCATCCATATGCATCCATACCAGTCCCATCATACTCTTCCTCTTATCACACTACCGCCTCGCGTGTTGAGAACATACCTCAACAGAAATCGCCATTGACGTTAGATGTAGACACAACGTTTGGCGTCTCACCATCTGTCACCTCCAAGATTACGTCCGCTGCCTCTTCGAGTAAACACGTCCAGACAACCGCACAAATTGACGAACAGCCAGTAAAGAAAGTCAAAAGAGGTGGGACTTCAAAAGGCAAAAGTCGTAGTGTGAAGGGAAAGAAAGAGGTTAAGGTTTTGCCAACAAGCAAGACGCGCACCAGTGTTGGCGCCACAACTACACCTGAATCTCAGGACAAAATTGTAACGGTGAGTTAGCGCGTTTTCGCAATGTTCGATCTAGTCTTGGAGAGAAGAGATAGCGAAAGAAAAACAAACTCTTTCATTCATTATATTTTTTTCCTTCATCCGCTTAACCATTGTCTATCCTGCTATACTTATTTACAGCCCGAACAGTCTCCAACACTACCATCTCCAGTCCTAACGCCAGTCACCGCATATAGCTCCAACTCGAATTCTTTTCCTCCACCGGCTCTTACGCCCGCATCCAGTACTCTTATTTCGATGACCGTTCCTCCAAAATCCACATCGAAATCCACACAAGCATCTTCGTCCGGAAAACGTTCACATAGTGAGGTAGAACAAGATGTTCAGGTTCTTCAAGATAAATTAGAAGATGTGGAGAGAAGGGTAAAAAGGGCAAAAGTTGTGGACCTTGGGATGGCAGTAATGGGTGCTGTGACTGCATTTATTGGCGCTGGTTTGGGAGTTACATATTGGGGGGGACAGTGAGTCGCATGGAGGATTATCGAAGAAAGATGAAAAAAGTTAAGATAGACGTGGACGATAGACGAATAATCGTGAAGCGAAAGATTATCAACGTAGAATATTATAGTTTGGCAAGAAAGTTAGATAGTAGCATCGTTATAGCAATTTGTTTCAGTTTGAGCATCGTCTTGTTATACTTCTCATAACATGAGTGATAATTAAATCACCGTGTAAATAGAAACAAATATAGTGTAAATGCATTTGTTTTTTAGTTTTATCATCTCCTGTTTTTTGTTTCATTACGAAACACACTGTTGTTTGTCTCATTAAGTTTAGGAATTGAATCGAATTGATAGGGAATGTAGTAAAGATAGAGAGATAATACGGATAAGGGGGATTTGAAGAATTTGTCATGTGCTTGATTATTCTCTCAGTTTCTATGTTTTGCATGGGTGAAATAAAGTTCTTTTGTACATAAATAATGTTTAGATGAGTAGATGAATCTATCAAGTCTAAGCCTAATATTGAATATCGAGTACGAAAGATAACCTATCTACTATTATACATCACAAATGCCTGAGAAGGCTGCTTGTAATGCCCGTTCATGTACAAACTTGATATTGAATCCGCCAGTTTTAGATAAACCCAACACTTCCGTAAACCTACCCGATAAATGAGAGAATTAGTAAATCCGACTAAAAAAAAAATCTTGCCTCCCCTTTCAGTTTTATAGTACATACGGATCATAATACTTCTCACGTAGAGTATATCCGTCAACATCTGCGTATTCTGTCGCGGCAGGATTATAATCTTTCATCGAGTCATCCAAATGTTCTCGATCTAAGCCAAGCCACATACCAACACCACTACTAGCTATGTCGAGAGATGTAGATGCAGAATGGTCGGCGGTTTGTTTCGAAGAACGCTGAGCGGCTGCAGCAGCCGCAGCAGCTTTTTTTTCCGCCAATATTCTCTCGGGCGATGCGTTTGATGTTGCCTGTAAATAGTGTAAATGAGAATTGATGACAGTGGAAATAGAAGATTGTCATTTCGAGGAACATTTACTTGTTCTCAAATAATTACCAGCTCTTCTATAAATTCGTCCTTTAATGTTGCTTTCATTTTGCGCTCTTCTTCCAATGTTTTCTGATATTTCTCGAATTCCGATTGCTTCTCTTTTAGTTCTTGCTCCTCAACTAATTTGGCTAATTTCTCTTCTTGTAACTAAACATATAACCAGACCAATAGGGTCGATTTCGTAAACCGGGCACGCAAGATCAATCAATCACATTAGTTTCCTTTTTCACATTATGCCATACCATTCGCTGAGCGTTCGCTGCAATCAAATCATGATTCTCTTGTTGATATGCTTTGATTTTAGCTTCGGTTTCCTCGAGAGAGATGCCATTAATCAAGTTCCACGCTACGAGAATTGCGTTTCATTAATGCTTAATAATAAGGGACACGATGTTAAAGCATCCAATAGGTTACCTATTTTCTCAACTTCTTCAAGGTAATCATTATACTCCTTCAGACTAGGGAAATCCTCTTGCCTTTTATTAAAACTATGATATATCACGAAAATAATATCAAGAGCCGATTGTGAGCACACCCAGTTGGAATCTCCATGCGCGACCGTCAATATACTATTCCTAATATGACTCACTGATGGGCAATCCGTTTTCGTATTTTTATTTCCTTCTCAACAAGCAGATCTTCGAAAGTAGCGATAGCAAAGTTCACTTTGCGCACTATCTGGCCACAGATTGGACATGGACCAGCACCATTTGCAAATAGACGATCTATACAAGACTCGCACCTAAAAAAAGAGAGGGTTGTTTGTTCGTACAAAGATTAAGCCAGCTCCGGCATCGAATGTCAAATGTATCGGCCAGTATGGGAGATGGTAACGTACATCTTGTGGTAACATTCACTGACAAGCAATTTCATATCTGGCGAAAGATATCTATTGTTTTTACAGATAGGGCATACTTCATCCGCATTATCGTTTGAAGGTGTTTCTCCTTGTCTGTTGATACCGTTTGAAGAAAGCTTTTTTGGAGTTGATTTCGCCGTTGTGCTTGATCTTACACTCATTGCAAGTATTGTTTTGATGGGATTGTAATAATCAGTATATCGTTAATTTGCCCATGTTCATTTCATGATCTTTGAAATAATTCACACGTGATGTAAATATGATTTGAGTATGTGTTTTGGACTAATTCTCAAATTGGGTACAGAAGACATCGAAAGCTTTGCAGCATTCACTTTCAGGGAATCATGATCAGCAACTACTGTTATTTGTTTGGAAGTCGTTCCTATTATCCAGGATTTCGTCACTATTATAGAGTAAGTGGAATAATCGCTCAAAAAGGTATAAATTCACGCTTTTCCTTTTTAATTTGAATTCGGGAACTTCTTTTAGCTAACGCGTTAACAATCGCTTACGTTTAATCAATTCTACATTGTTACTTTCCTAATTCTCGAGCAGTTTCAAGATCGGCAAATAGAATTTACCACACACGAAGAAGGAAGTCTGCGTAGAAATTAACTCATTCCAGAAATATACTAGCATACTGGCTGCATTAGCTTATTTTTATCTAAAAACCGTACCTACGATTATTGGATCTAAGACACTTATTCTGGGCTTTAGACATTAGGTTTGTTGACGATTACAGTAAACAAAGTTTCTAATTTGGATGAGGTACGATGAACAGGTACGCTGATACTGGGCCAACGCGAAGGATAGAAGAATTAGACATTCAGCCAAGGCTTATCAGACTAGCAGTCTTTTTATTGTACATGAGTACATGCTAGTAGTTTCGATACCAAATGCATATAAACCATTTACGTTTGATTTACGCGGATTGTACTCTACAAGTTTAAGCGACCTCGCGCTTGATGAAAATTTATTACCAACTAGCTTACACGCTCTTACTTCCGCAAAGAAATAACGCTTGCGACGAAAAGACTTGACCGTAAAAAATTTTTTTTTCTAACTACACTTTGAGACGATATAAGATGAAAATGGTTTCTGATAGTGTCCTTCACTAATAAATTGGTACACTGCAATAACGTAAAGTGCGAGCGCCTTTTGTACGGATCCAGTGACGAGAAACGTTGATAACACATCAAGTTGCAACAGATACTGTATAATTAAAATATAACAGAAGCTGGTGTTCTGGTTTTGATTTATGTCAACATAAAGAGTGATATCATATGTCGTTTATCTGTTGAATGGTATCCAAAGTTGGTCTGCTATGCAAATGTTTAAGGTTCAGGAACACGAGTTACACTCGTTTTCGCGCCGTTTGTCAAGCCAAATATATCATTGATACTCGTGTTTAGGAATTGGCCAATTAATAAAGGAACGCAAAACCTCCAGGAACTTCGTGATCTAAGTTCTGAAAAGTAAATTGTGGGGTACTTCTCATTGACTTTTCGCACGTTTCACCGCTTGCTGTCAATCACTTATTTGTCTTAGCGTTCCCTTTTCCGTAACACATGTCCATATTAAGAACTAGAGCATTTTTGTGTCTCTCAGCTTTACACGGCCCAACTTGCCTAAATAAGCTTAATCACCTCCTTTATCTTGTAACTAATACTCTTCGTATATATGTATATATTACCAGACAATTGTTCTTGCTAAATGTTATGTTGTTGCTGTTGCTGTTGTTGTTGTCATTATTGTTGTTGTTGCTGTTGTTGTTGCTGTTGTTGCTGTTGTTGTTGTTGTTGTTGTTGTTGTTGTTGCTGTTGTTGTTGTTGTTGCTGTTGTGTGTTATTGTCATTATTATTTCTTAGTCTCGCAAGGGAAAAAAAAGTTCTCATTGATGAAATTAAGTTAATATATAGGAATGAATGCACGTTGTTGAGTAATATTACTGGGTAGTACACATGTGATAATTCACATGAATCTTCCCCCCTTATGTCGTGTTATCTATCCTAATATGTAATTAAAGATCATATCACGGTCGACCCAGTACCCGATTATGGAATGTCACCAATCAACGCAATAGTTATACTTGTTCAGCAAAACAACGCTCTATGTATTTGTTAATTTCTGAGAATCCGAATTTGATCACTCGTCCAGGTGAGATAATAATTCAACTTTCGGTGAAACTTTTACCAACTAGTTGTGATTGTTGTTACTTTCTATTTCTTGTAAATAAAAAACAGCAAATCCGACATATTTCTCCGGAACCGGACCGTCCGGGGTTCCGAACCTTACTTTGACGTCACCTTGATCTATCGAAAAATTATTACGCCCTATCGATCTTCCCGTACAACCTTGTATTCCACATTTCAACAACAATGATATAAGGAAGAAAATTTCCTTCCCAACCATCCTAGTTGTTGTCTCGTTCTCACTGTAAACGCCTGACGTTCGTACATTTAAGTATCACTAAGCCACAGTCTTTTCACAGAAAAGGTAAGTAGGCAGCGAAAACGAACTGCAAACAACGAGACGTCAAGCACGCAAGCGCATACTTTTTGCAATACGTGACTTCGTGCGCAGCTTGTTCCTGAATTAGTAGCTGTTTCTGTATAACGTGTTAGACGCATGTTGACTAGGTTATTTATGAGATATCGTGTTCACACACGTTTATTCTATCTTGATCGTGCACCCTTCCGTCTCTATTATTACTTCTCGCTAACCACTAACCGTATCCCCCTCCCGGAAGATATTCTGCATAATGATAGAAGAAGAAGCAGCAAACACGAATCCCACCGACGTCGAAGAAGAAGGAAAACTTAATGATCAAATTAATTCACAGTCTGAAGAATCTCGATCGGTCGATACACTAGCGATTAATCTCGATTCTTCCGCTGATTCCGAAGAAAAAACTCCCAGTGATTATCCACTACCTGTAGATGAGACCTTGACAACCAGCGTCGGCACTTCGGCTTCTGCTGAAAATGAAATCACTTCCAATGATCAAATACATCGCCAAGAAATCCGACCAGAGGAAATTTTGACAATTGATATCAATGCTTCTGCTGAAAATGAAATCACTTCCAATGATCAAATACATCACCAAGAAATCCGACCAGAGGCAATTGATGTCAATACTTCTACTACAACTGAGGTTGAAACTACGTCCAACGATCATACTCAACCAGAGACCGAAGAGTCGTTGATTGATATCAACCCGACTGCTACCGCCGAATATGAGATACAAGAAATTTTGACACTTGATGTCAATACTTCTGCTACAACTGAAGTTGAGACTACGTCCAATGATTATACTCAACCAGAGACCGACGAGTCGTTGATTGATATCAACCCGACTGCTACCGCCGAATATGAGATACAAGAAATTTTGACAATTGATGTCAATACTTCTACTACAACTGAAGTTGAAACTACGTCCAACGATCATACTCAACCAGAGACCGACGAGTCGTTGATTGATATCAACCCGACTGCTACCGCCGAATATGAGATACAAGAAATT